GAGTATTTCCTTGAGTGCTGACTCCGGGACTTGAACAAGGGGCCMCACCCTCTCACTGGCCCAAGAGGGACTTCCGGTTATTGGTTRGACCATAATCGGGTTGTTCATTAGAGGATCAGCGGTACTTAAGGTATAAGATGTAATATAGGGGTAAAATGGTAATTTGACCCAGATGTGGTTACGAACACTCGTGAATGATTGACTTATCATTAATGGTCAAAATCCATGGACGCAAAATATTCTATAGTGAGAAGAGTGCAACTGTAGGTCTTTAGTAGAGTGACCGACAGTTAACGAATGTTGATTAATATGATTAATGAGTTTAATCAATTAATCTCGTATCGTTGGAGCTTCCGATCTATAGGTCTATTAGGTCCCCTTGCTAGCTCGATAGTTAAGAACATTTAATCTTGAAAATAATTTGAATTGTTCAAATTTGTTAACAAGAATTAAAGTTAATTGTTTGAAATTCAATTAACATAATGTATATTGATACATTATAATATAAGGTTAATTTTTGAATTGGATTCACAATTATGAGAAAGATGTATATTGGAATTTGATTCTAATATGGTTAATTAATTTAAGTTTAATTTGATTTAATTAAATTAATTAAAGTAATGGGATATATTGATTAATTTAATTAAATATGATTTAATTAAATTAATGACTTATGTTAATTTGGTTAAGTTAAATTTGATTTAATTTAATTTAATTAATAATTCTTTTTTGGTAATTAATTAAATATGATTTAATTAATTATTAATTTAATTAAAATAGTTTTAATTAAATTAAAATAAAAAGAAAAAAATGGAAAATGAAAATAAAAATGGGGGAAAAACCTCCCAACGGTGGAAAGTGGGGAAGTCTTCCCACCTCATGGTGGGAAGTGGGGAAATAGTGAGTGGGGAAGGACTTCCCCACCACTCTTCCTCCAAAGGGAGGCTCTCCCCTTCCGTTTTAGTTCCCAATTCCCGAAAAAATCTCTCTCGCTCTCTCGATTTTTCTTCCAATTATAATTAGATGGTTCCACAAACCGAGTTCTTAACTCCCAGATGATAGCGAGGAAGACTTTGTGGTGGCGTTGATATTACATTGAAGAGGTGTCTTCAAAGGTATGTATCACTAAGTTCTTGTTATTCATGCTTATGTGTCTTTTCTTTATTGCAATTCTAAAACGAAGCACACGCGTTCGCGCGCTTCTGCTGCGGGATCTGATCCCTTCAATATTAACCAAAGTGTTTGGGAGGTATGAGTTTCAAAGATTTATAAATTTATAGGTATGAGTTTCAAAGATTTATAAATTTATAATCAATCTCTTCTGTTGGAGGATACTGTGAGATCCGATCTCTTGGCTTTCTCGAGTTATGAAAGGTCGATACTTTTTTTTTTGGATTACGGTATTTTAAAATAGAGCTTTTTTAGTGCAACGAAAATGGGACATGAGATTTTGAACTTGAAAATTTTATTGAAACTCCCAAAATTCAGGTCATATTAATTTAATAATAATACTTACCACCTAATCCGATAATCCATCTAACATAATTTGATTCTTACTCATTGTTATTAAARTTTTGACAATTATCTATATTATATTAAAAAGGGAGGACCTAGAAAAAAACATTTTTAGACACTTTTGTCCCTTACTAATTTTACTAATTTACAAACTAAGCCATTAATATATTATTAATTATTAATTATTGATTATCGATACTAATAAATGCATATAATTTAAAAGGTTAGAATGCAAAAAGTTTTTCCTACAACATGAAATTATTTTTTTCTTTAATTATAATTCATACTAGAATTTCAAGAGTTTTAGAATGTCAAAAGCTTTTGTAATTTCTTATCTTCTACTATTATAAAAATAGGCTTCTTCCACCATATTTTTCACAACACTTAGAGTTTGACTACTTTATTCTTAGTTCTCTCAAAACATCTCTCAAAGATTATTCAATTTTCGAAACTTCTTCRGATGTTGGTGTCACATTCCCCAATAGTTGCAAGAGATGGAGATACGTCAAGTTGCAAGAGATGCATATTCATCAAGTTGCAATGGATGCACGTGTCAAATATATATATCTCGAATACTTGACTTGCGACGTCACCATTCCACAATTTTATGAAGTTCATAATAGTATTTGTCAAGCAATTGTCAAGAGTGAGAATATCTACTCTAAAAGATTACTGTATAGTTAGGATTTGTATTTTTTTTTGTTACTATTATTTTTTTATTGTTATTTTATAATTACTGTATTTTTTTAAGAATGTTTTTCGKTTGAGCAATTTTATTTTACAAGCTCATGTTCTTATTGTTGAAAAAAAATAATGTAAGTTAATACATCAAAATGTGTTAATTAATTAAATAGTAAATTAATAAATTAATTATCAACAATAACTTGTGTGGAATCTTAAAATGCGTAAGATACAAAACTTTTGGTCATTTCMCARTGATATGGTTTAAATAAATTTAATCATAATATTATATTAAATAAGTTAATTAATTTGATCTCAATTTAAAAAGTTCAATAAATAACAAAATGTTAGCTCTAAAAATCGTTAGAATCTTTAATAAACAAACAAAGTATTTTAAAAAGATAAGGGGTCCATATCGGGTAAAACAATATTTTAAAARTAAAAATATTAAAATACCTATTTATTTTTTTAATTAATATATTAAAGATAATGAAATGTAATTTATAATTTTTTCATTTTAATTTTATATATTTTCACTTTCAACCTATTTTATTAATATTTTTTTTTATAATTTTACTAATTATGAATAACAAAATAAATTTCTCAATTTGTAATATATAAGTGACAAATGAAATTTTTTATAAATTCAAAGTACGTATTCATTTTATTACTATAATATAAAATAAAGTAAAAGAAAAAAAATGTATGTGTTAAGAGTTAGAATATGAAAAGTTTATTCACCGACATTAATTTAATAATAATTATTATTAATTATATTATATTTWATTTTAAAATAACAAGAATCTTAAAATCTGAAAAGAATATGATGAAATTTAATCTAAAAATACAAAAGTCTTAAAATCTAACAGAATTATAATTTTTATATATATACAAACATATAAATACAAGCTTTATACTTATTTATTGSTTTGAAATTTATTTCAATTAATAAGATGAATTTGAACTAAAAATTTTGAATATGAGAAGTGTTACGGTTTATTTACTAAAAATTTATAGATTTATCTTCGATCATAATAATTTTAAAAAACTTTATAACTCTATCTCATCCTCTTATTATAAAAATGAGTTATTCCACCATTTTCCACTAGCAATATGAATTTTATTTTGTTTATTTTTTACTTTTGTTATCTTTCATTTCCTTCATTTTTCAAGTCTAAGTAATCTAAAAAACAATTCAAGAAGTTATGTGATATACTAAGAGAGTACCATGAGTCAATTTATATCATGAATTATTGATTTGAGATGTTACAATTCAATTTTGAAGTTCTGTGTTCTCTGGCAATTATAAGAAGGTATATATATWTWTWTWTTTTTACACTATTAGTGATATTTTTTATTTACGATATTATAAAATTAATTAAATTAAAAATGTTTCGTGCATGCACGTGGTAGCATACTAGTTTATTAAAAAAAGGAAAAAAATATCTTCTTGCAATACATTCTGCTATCTTATTGTAAAAGAAATATAACCTTTAGTTATTTGTAATTAATTATTTCTTCATTTCTATAAATAAAAACCCCCTCTTTCTTTATTGTGAATTTTTATTCATYTTACCCTTAAAAACTCATAACTCCATCTCCATAATTAAATATTTGCAATTTGATAATTTAAAAACAGTGTCTTCAAGTACTTAAATATTATGATAAATTAAGAAAAAGAAACTCTTGAAATTTGTCCCTTGTTAAAAAAATACTCTTTTATCCTTTCAAAAGTTCAACTCATAGACATTTCAAAAAATACCTTTTAAGCAAATATTCGTTAATATTTTGCATGAAAATTTGACGCGACCCAATTAATGGAAGCTTGCCGGGAAYAGTTAACTAGYATTACAACAAATTTGACCTTTGACGTGGTCAATTGTACGCCCATCATTATTTCTACACGTGATTTTTTTTACCATTATTAAAGGTCAAATTTGTTGTAGTACTATCTCATTAAAATTATGATGTCACGTCATTCCGAGTTTTTTCACKCTTATTTTTTCGTTCAAAATATCAACAAATATTTGCTCAAAATGGTATTTTTAAAGATGTTTAGGAAAATTGGTATGGTGAACTCGGGACAATGTGATAATTAATGGAAGCTTGTTTTTGTTTTAATTGATGAAAATGAGGGAGTCAAGTRCCACGGTAGTATGAAAAATTCAATCTGTCAACGTTCATAAGATTTAAGAATGATATGRGTCCATAAAATAAAATAATAACGGATCTAATGGTATATTAAATTGTGAAGAGAAAGAACATACATTCTCGTAGTAATGAAAATTTTTCCAGTCATTGAACAGTTTGAAAAATGGCGGGTCAGCAAGAATTCAAGGTAACTACTATTCTTAATTTAATATTATTAATACACCTAAGAAAAAGCTCAACGGTTGGATGTTGGATCCTACAAATGACAAATCCCTTTATATTTAATCGGTAAAAAGTCCGTTACGAATTAGAGTATTTGGATGTTAGAATAAAATTTAGGGTGATTCGGTGACAGTTATGTTTTYTTTCCAATTTTATTAAAAAAACATAAGTATTTTACAACTATTTATATTTCTCGTTTATCATTTTTTTATAAATATTCTAAAAACTATATAGAAATTTTGAAAATAACATAAACTAGTTTTTTGCTAAAGCGAGCTTAACTCAGTTGTAACAGGTATATATTTCCAACTAACAGGCAGTGAGTTCAAAAAATTGTTTTATCATTTTCTAATCTACGAGTGTTGGATTTATGAAATTCTACTTATTTATTTTTATTAAAAAGTAGAAAACAAAAACAAAAAATGAGAACGTTACCAAACGGGTCCACAGCAACCTCGAATGTCTATTTCATTTCTCCCCGGCAATTTTACACATTGAAGAACAAAAATAACTCTTCTTCTATTTCCAACCTCCCAAATATTCATTCCATTTGGCATCATAATAGATAAGACAGAGCTTTTCAAAAGCTAAGAAAGAAGGGACAATCTTATTTCCAGAGCCACTTCAGTAAAAACACTAAAACGAACACTATTTGTCAGCTGAGAACTTAAACAGCATAATGTGATTGTAAGGCTTCTGTGGAGTAACAATAGTTGAAGGGAAATTGTGGTGATTCACTGCATCAGGAAAGCCTTGAGTCTCCAAACAAAGCGCGGCATGAGCTTGGTACACGAACCCGCCCTTTCCCTTCACGTCCTTTATAAAGTTGCCTGTGTAAAACTGCACGCCGGGAGCGTTTGTCGAGAGCTCTAACGTTCTTCCCAACTTCTTATCGTGCACGATTGCTGCTTTCTTCAGCCTGCCTCCCCCACTGCCACCGTCGAGGGCATAGTTTATGTCATAGCCTTTTGGTAGCCTGTCTATTCTGCTTCCAACCGTGCGGGGCTTGAGAAAATCGTATGGAGTTCCCTTKATGGGAGCTAACTTTCCAGTGGGAATAAGATCGTGATCGACGACAGTGATGCGAGATCCGAAGATCTGAAGAAGATTCGACATGATATTGCCGCTGTTATGTCCACCAAGATTCCAGTAGGTGTGTTGAGCTAGATTTACAGGAGTAGGCTTGTTTAGAGCTTTGGCATTCATTGTTATCTTCAKTTGGTTGTTTTCAATGAGTGTGTATTTGACACTCACCAAGAGATCACCAGGAAAACCTGCAAAAAGAATGGAGAAACCGAGCAAGTTCATAAAGCCAATTCGAATATCTTCAACTGTGATAATGCATATTCGGGGGACGGTTTYCTCACCTTCTTCACCGTCGAAGCTGCGATAGGAAAAAACGATTTCAGGAGAACTACCACCTTTCTTATACTTGGTCACTTTCCAGACAACATCACTGAAGCCTCTAGTGCCACCTAATATTGGAAACAACAAATGAATTAAGTGTCGATGTTGATAGAAATGCCAACGTCTCAGATTTGGGTCAATATTTCGAGAGAATAATATCGTCCCTCATACAAATGTAGAATGATTAACTCAATGCCATATCAATTAGCTTGGGCTGAAAAGTTCAAAAACAAAAATCAGACAGAAAGATTAGAGTTATGTGAGATGATGTASCATGAAGTGTATTGTTTCCTTCATTGGCAAYCAGCTTGTATAGAACTCCATCCAKAATAAATTTTGCACCGCCAATTCGGTTAGCAACTCGTCCGACTATTGAACCAAAATACGACGTATCGTTCTACAAAGGGAAACACAGTTCCTTCGTTTGTTATTTGAGATCAAGAGGGCAAAGMAAATTCCCAAAAAGAGGAAACTTTGATCTAAGAACACCAAACTTTTGGAGGATAAACCTTTAGTTAAATTGTCGTTTAAATTCCTTATATTTGAGCTTAGTTGACAAGTTTGGTTAAGCAATTTTAAAAGCTTCAATTTGGTATTTATAACTTTTAAAATGTCAATTGAGTCCCTAGAATTTTGTCACAAGTTATATCTTATAGATGAAAGCACACCAATCTTGAAAAGGATAAACTTTCTTTTCCCAATGGTCCCTTCTTTGTCTGCAGAATGATTTTTTATTTTTTATTTTTTGGGTTGACCCTACTGAAAACCCCAATTTAACAAATATTAATTCCTTTAGTATGATATGCAAGCAACAATAAATTCTATCTTGCACCAAGAAAGAAGCAAGAGGGTCAAATAAGTTTGCATCTTTTTAGGYTCACCACTTCAATCTAAAGATTCTATCAAAATGGTTAAGTTAGGAGTTTGGACTCTAATACAATTTACAGAGACAAATAAATCCTATTCACATTTACAATCGTATGATATTGTCCACCTTAGACATAAACTCTGGTGACTTTGCTTTYGGTTTTATCTAAAAAGTCTCGTAAGTCGTACCAATTGAAATGTTGTCCTCGTACTCAAATCTTCCTCTTATCTAGTTAATGTAGGTTTTTGATCGCATTTCCAACATCTTCACCGTAKATTAGAAAAACTATATAAAAAGGTTAAAGATTTTAAAGTATTCTCTCTGATTTGCCCCTAAATTTTTAATTTAACATTTTTTTGGCTTCACCCTGATTATCCAGTAGGTTGTGAAATATTTATTCCC